CTTGGCAATCTTCTTATAGCGTAGGTCGTCTTTATGTAATTCAAGAATTCTTTTTTTCAGATCCTCAGAGTTCTTTGCCATGAGGTGCCATGTTGAACTTCCAGTGACCAGTATGATAGAGTGAGAGCGATAACACCAAATTTAACACACCTGCTCCCCATTCAAACCTGAGACCTTGTAAAACTAAAGAGTCACATGACACCGGGGAGGGAAAATGGCTAATTGGGCCCAGTTTGAACATTGTCACTTAGGGATGTACTCACTTTTGTTGCCAGCGGTTTAGACATTTTGCATTCTCTGAGATTCCACCTTGTGAGCCTATTTTCTAGAGACATGCCTTAATCTATTGTGTTTTTTGAATGTTACATCTTTGGGTATGTATGAGTAGTGATTTATATATAATCAAGATGGACTAGTTTTTTGCACAATGTTTGATGTTATTGGGTTTTGGTATTTATGTACATCTATATTTCAGAATACACTGCTTTTTTCCTGATGAAGACTCTTTAAGAGTTGAAAAGCATTGAGCCTCCAAGTTGCCATCTGAAGACTCTGATAGATGGAACTTACATAACCATTGATGTATTTTGGCTGTTTTTTATTGTCTCATGTATGAGAACTGTTTTTATTAGGTTGTGAATATTTTATCTATACACTGTGTATGTGGCTGGTACCTGTAAAGTCCTATTCTCTTGCATTTTAATCTAGTTCTGCTTATCATTAAGGGCGTGGTACCATATATTATACCAGCCAAGATTCAGAATCATTTTTTCGATCACAGACCAAAATTTGATTTCATACCCACTTTATGCAAAACTTCAGATTCGCATTAAGAGAAGCCTGTAGTGTGAGTTGGACCTCACCATTGACATGACGCTCTCGCATGGTGACCGCCGCCATACTGTCTGTGATGAGAGTTGCCGGCATCTTTTCATACACCAACTCATAGGCCGTGAGCCGGGAGCCCTGGTTATATGGACGAGTCTCTGTACAGTAGACATGGGACAGGCGGCCAAGGGAGTGAAGGGAGCGTATCACACCTACATGAAGGGACAGAAGATGACAAGGAGACACGTTTCAACACAGCAATAGATGAATCTGAGCTAAAAGGGCCAAGTTACACTATACATGGTGACTGGTGTCTTCTTCTGCAATTGACCAACACCAGACCTCATAGGAGCACATTGGAACTCTTCAGATTGCATCACTGCCTTCAGGTATGCTGCACATTTCCACAATGTTCTGGAGATCACTTGAAGTCACCATCTGCTTTCACACTTTGACATTTAACCACTGGAGCTCCAGGCTAATCCTGACATTCCTCTCCATCATGTAAAAAATTGCATTTTTTGCTATAAAATTACTTAGAACCTCTAAACATTATATATTTTTTAACCACTTGCCGTCCACCTGCTGTTTATAAACGGCAGTCAGCCCCAGAGCGGTGGCAGTCCAGGGGCGGGTTGCCGTTCATAAACAGCACCCGCCTTTTCTAGCTGTGTGCGCTCCCTGGGAGCGCGGAGCACCGCAATCCGGTGCCCGCTGTGTCCTCCAGACACAGTGGAACACTGATCGTCAGACGGGACCTCTGTACGAGGTCCCGATCATGTGATCACTGATTGGCCAATCAGTGATCACATGCAAAGTAGTAAGCAAGATGTCACTTGTGACATCATTGCTTACTACGTGTGAAATCTGTGAATGATCACAGAAGTCACATGGTACAAGGCTATTCACAACAGCCTTCTACCGTGTGACAAGCTGTGACCAATCACAGCTCACTCAATACTTCTCAATGACTGCAAGAATGCAGACAGAGAAAAAGAGAAATGATTGCTTTTACATCCTATATGGGTGTAAAAGCAATCAGTGTAAAAAAAAAAAAATCTTCATCACCCCCCACAAGTAGTACAGTGTCACCATGGTGACACTGTACTGCTAGGGTGACAGTATGTAAAAAAATAAATAAATAAATAAAAAATAATAATAAAAAAAATAAAATAAAAATGTAAAAAAAAATGTTTAAAAATTTATAATTTTTGGTTATAAACTAATTTGGATTTTTTTTTTTTTTTTTTTACTAAAAATAAACGGAATAAATTTTGGCCAAAATTTATGATGAAATAATATTTATTTGCAAAATTGTATTTAAAAAAACACTTTTTTTCAAAATTTTTGGACTTTTTTCATTTACATAGCAAAAAAAAAATAAAAATCCCAGCGGTGAATAAATACCACCAAAAATAAAGCTTTATCTGTCTCAAAAAAATGGTAAAAAATTCATATGGGTACAGTGTTGCATGACCGCGCAATTGTCATTCAAAGTGTGATAGCGCTGAAAGCTGAAAATTGCCCTGGATAGGAAGGGGGTGAAAGTGTCCGGACAGGAAGTGGTTAAGCAGAGGCCCTAGAGAATACAATGGCAAGTGTAGCAATTTTTTTATGCCACACAGTATTTATGCAGCAGTTTTTCAAACAAAATTAAGAAAACAAAATACACCATGATGAATTTTAATGCACAAAACGCAATATAATACCCAATTGTTTGGTAAAAATAAAAAAAGATGATGTTACGCCAACTTGATACCAAACATGTCACGCTTTAAAATTGGAATGGCGACAAACTACGATACTTAAAAAGTCTCTATAGGTGAAGCTTTAAAAGCCTTTACAGGTTACCAGTTTAGAGCTACACAGGAGGTCTGTTGCTAAAATGATTGCTCTCGCTATAATGTTCATGTGGATACCTCACACGTGTGATGCGAACACAGTTTACATATGTGTGCATGACCTACGTATGCGTTCGCCTTTGCACACAACGACGGGGAGATGGGCGCTTTACTTTTTTTTTTTTTTTTTACACTTTCTCTTTTTTTTTATTGATCACTTTTAATGCTATCACAAGGGATGAACAACATCCCTTGTGATAGCTGGAGAAATGACAGGTCCCCTTTATGGAAAGATGTGGAGTCTAATTAGACCCCACATCTCTCATCTGCCCCACAAAGCAACAGATCAAACCCAGACTGGTCTTATTTGATGCTTTCACGGGCTGGTCACAGTGTGTTTACATTAGGCCGAAACCAGAAGTGACAAAATACTCATCGCTTCCGGCTTCTTAGACCACAGAGATGATAGGGGATGTTTCGCTCCTCAGTCATGTCTATGGCCTGCCGGAGGAACCGGTGGCTCTCCTGTCCCACCAAACTCCCTTCTGCTGCCTGTAATAAGTGATCCAGTGGCTAATTAGCCAATAGGATCGCTATTATATTAAAGCCCATTGCCTGCTGAAAAAGAAAGATACCGGAATAACGTCTGCAGATGCAGGCATCATCCCGGTATATAACCCTTCAATAATGCGACATACGGGTACGTTGCCAAGGCTGAAGTGGTTAATGACGATAAAAAAAAAACAAAAACAAAATGAAAAAAAAAAAAAAAAAAACAAAAAGTGTAAAGTAAACGTAACAACACAAGCCACCGGCCCCCAATACTGACACACAATGGACACTAGACCATGCACTAAAATGGACCCGTATGTCAAGCGGGGGAGGGACTGACTAACAGTCACTGACATCCCCAGTGACACCAATACAGTGATCAGTGCTACTAAAAAGCACTGACACTGTACTAATGGCACCGGGCAGGAGGGGGTTAACATCTGGGCGATCAAAGGGTTAACTGTGTGCTGTTTTACTATGTGTGCGTTTCACTGTAAGCACACTGCTTTGTTTTGATGTGCTAGGCAGAGCCATACAAAGCAGTGTGCAGGAGCTGACAGGGAAGAGCTCTATATTGTTTACATACAGGTCTCTCCCCCGTCAGTGATACTCAGTGATTGCCGAACCGGTGATGGACAGCCGAAGCCACGAATGGGGAAGCAGGTAGGGCGCATGCACACCCCTTGCCCGGAAATGCGAAATCACGCATATATACGTGATTTTGCGCAGCCGTATTTCTGCTATAGGGCGGCTCGGAAGAGGTTAATAAATTTACATTTCTGGTAACCCTCTGGCTACTGAAGCCTGCGCCCATGTTGGCTAATGAGCAGCACTCCTCTATCTACATTCACCCCCACCAACATCAGCAGTGAATTCCATGCACGCCGTCCACCATGACAAACAGGACCAGCAACAATGCAAAATGGCTATCAGCAGATTGCACTGGTGATGGTAGGCAAGTCCTGGCCGGATGTAAGCCTGCACACTGCAAAGAGAGTCCCGGCACTAGAAGCATGCCAAGATTGGTGCGGACACTACGCTCCCACTACCTGAGGGAAGCAAAACTAAAAGTAAGCAGAGAATGAGCATTGCATGGTAAATGAAAAATTCATTGCTGGCTGTATAACCTTGGCATTATGGGCTTTCAGATGGGAAACAATTGCAGAGTTGGGTTTAGTTCCGCATTTGTTACAAATCGGTAAAACTGTGGCAGGAAAAGGAAATAAAAGTGTAGCTTCAGTAGAGCTTTAAATATTTTCTGTGTCCCCAAGCTGGAACAAGTATGACCTGGAACATTCCTGACTCCCCTTTATATAATGCTGTTCTGGGTCAATAGCTTGATAGCCCAGCCTTTGAGGGAGAGGGGGGGTTACAATCTCAGCCTTCACATTCCCTGCACCAGTTTCCTTTACCAAGAACCAGATCATCAACAAGGCAACCTAGCCAGGAGCCAAGGACCTGTTGGATATCCAGAGGACCCAGCTACAACCTTCAGACTCCTGTTGGTCTAAGACAGGAGTCTCCCAACTATGGCCCTCCAGGTGTTGAGGAACCTCAAGTCTCATGAGGCCTTGCAAGACTCTGACAGCCACAGGCAAGACTCACAGAGACATGACGGGACTTGTAGTACTTCTATGGCAGGAGAGTCATAGTTTGAAGACCCCTGATCTAAGCCATGCTTCTGTCCATTACTTCACAAGGGAGGATGAACTTATACGGAGTAAGCATGGCAAAGTCAATGCTAATGGGGCAATTTCTCCATACCTATTGCCATTCTTATCAATATTGGTCAAAGACATGGCCGGCCAAAGCATCTACCTTGCTTATGACCCTATAGTGCCTTAATCCATCTGTACCTTTACCTACACAACTGTCCCAGGAACAGAGCCCCGCCCTCCAAGAAAGCCTCTTACCTAGTGCAGTCCCATAGCCAGCAGTAGCCAGGGACCCCGTGTTGCAGTGGGTCATTATACAAACCCCACCGGACGCTTGGGTGGTCTCCAGAATATGCTGAGCTCCCAGGTCTCCAATCTTTTGGTTGTCTTTAACATCTTCCTCTAGAAGAGACTCTGCCCATTGGATGACACTGTGAAGATAACAAGACCCAAGGGATTCAGATGGATAGGAAGTGACTCCTGGATCTGGGAACGTCAAGCAATCTAAAGGTTGTAATGTGTATACAGTAATGTGCCAAAGTGAACAAATGTTGTAAATGAAGAATGCTTTCAGAAATAGAGGTGGTAATATCTTATATTTATCAATTAACAAAACGGAAAGTAAATGAACAGAAGAGAAATCCAAATCAAATCAATATTTGGAGTGACCACCCTTGGCCTTCACACCAGCATCAATTCTTCTAGGTGCATTTACATGCAGTTTTTGAAAGAACTCAGCAGGTAGGTTGTTCTTAATGACATTGGCTGTATCTTTGGGGTCATTGTCCTGCTCCAGAATAAATTTGGGGCCAATCTTAATCCTTCCTGATGGTATGACATGATGGGTAATAGGGATGCACTGAAATTTCAGCCACCGGAACATATCGGCCGAAAGTAGCCCTATTGGCATTCTGCCGCTAGGAAAAATGTAGCCGATACAGGTGCCGGTACAGGAGACTGTGTGTACTACAGATGTGGGGGGGGGAAAGCAGCAGCGGAGCAGTGTATACAGTGCCTGTCTGTCACTATAGGTCAGTGCCGGTTTTTAAATGTAATTACCATTTTTTTTTCTTCACTATAGCTCAGATAATCAGCTGTCACTTTCCCCCCAGCTAAAAGAAACAAAGTTTCCTTTTAGTTTCTTTCCCGAGATAAAAGAAACAAAGTTTCCTTTTAGTTTCTTTCCCGAGATAAAAGAAACAAAGTTTCCTTTTAGTTTCTTTCCCGAGATAAAAGAAACAACGTTTCCTTTAGCTCCAGGGAAAGTGACAGCTAATTCTGTGAGCCACAGTGAAGAAAAAAAAAAGCCGGCCATTGCATTTAAAGATCGGCACCGACATATAGTGACAGCCAGTGAGGGAGCCTCTCTGTATACACTGCTACCTCACTGTATACACCGCTCCTCTCTTTCCCCCTCACCCGTATAAAGAGGACCTGTCACTCATATGCTATCACATAGGGCAGGGGTAGGCAACTGTGGCCCTCCAGCTGTTGTAGAACTACAACTCCCATGAGGCATTGCAAAACTGAGTTACAAGCATGACTCCCAAAGGCAGAGGCATGATGGGACTTGTAGTTCACCAACAGCTGGAGGGCCACAGTGCCCACCCCTGACATAGGGGACTATTGGTCCCCTATGTGATAGCAATAAAATCATAAGTTAAAAAAATATATATATATACATGTAGAAAAAAAATACAAAAAAAATTGGAGCCTCCCCACCCCCACATACGCAGACATTTTGGTTTCAGTTCAGTTTTCGGCCACATGCAGTCTGAATTTGCAGTATCAGTTTCAGCAGCAGAATTTTCATTTCGGTGCACCACTAATGGGTAAGTATCTGCCTGTATTTCTCAGCATTGAGGACACCGTTGATCCTGACCAAATCTGCAATTTGCAGAAATGCAGCCCCAAACTTGCAGGAAACCTCCACCATACTTCACTGTTGGCTGCAGACACTCATCATTGTATCTCTCTCCAGCCCTCTGGTGAACAAACTGCCTTCGGCTACAGCCAGATATTTCACATTTTGACTCATCAGTCCAGAGCACCTGCCGCCATTTTTCTGCACCTGCCCCAGTTCCTATGCACCCAGTTCCTTTTGTGCATAAAGCATGCAGACGAGGCTAAGCGACCAACTATGCCCCTCTGTGTTCCTGTCACCACACTCCAGGGATTGCTCTCACCAACAGTGTTTGCCCATCTTGCTACAAACTAGGCAGACGCAGCTTGTATAAACTCAGCCTAGAAGGGAAATAAATTTGTTTAGTGACGGGAAAAATCCTCCTCCACTAGCCGCCACCTAAGTAGTTTCACACGATGCGGGATGAAAGCCACATAAAGTCACAAAATTGACTGCCAGATGTGAACCTGATGGCTTGGTGCATCAATCCAATTTCAAAGATGGCATAGTGGATCGACGCGTTTCGCAATAACACTTGCTTCTTCAGGATCCATGCTCAATTCATGGATCCTGAAGTGTTAGTGCAAAATGTGTTGATCCACTATGCCCTACACAAGCACAGGGAGAACATGCAAACTCCATGCAGATGGTGTCTTGGTTTGAACCAAGGACCTCAGTGCTGCAAGGCAGAATAAAAAGAGTGCAGAGATTGTGAGGCACAACGGACAATCCCTGTACAATCTCTGCAAGCAATCAGGGAAAGCATTATTCATGCTGGGGTGCAACGAGAGGAGCCTAGAAGTCAATGAAATACAATCAGTGTGGGTTACATCTAGACCAGGCATACCCTGTACACACCTCTCAGTCAGCTCCTGGGCCGTGACCCCCGGCTTCTCGGCCTCCCCAGCCAGGAAGGAATTCAGTTCATCGGATGCTTTCTTCATATTGACAGCAGTGGGCCGGGCTCCCACCAACAGCTCCATGGACTCCCGGACAAAGGTGAGAAGATCCGACACTTGCTGCGGGGGGTGGGAGGAAAGCTCAACAGCCAGGCTCAGAGAACCCACAATGGCAATGGCTGGAGCTCCGCGGACCTGCAGATATGACACAGAATCTTCAGTCTCATCAGCACCCAGGACATCTCACCGATTTCCAAGCTTGCATTGCTTTAAAAACCATGCAAACTGCACAAAATGTACCCGTAATTTCTGTAATAGATTCATTCCTATGATTAATAGCGCCATCTAGTGGCCAAAATGTGATATAGCTTCACAATGAAGTATTTCAGAAGACTATAACACAAATTGGCCACTAGATGGAGCTGTCAACCATAGGAAATGATCTATTACAGAGAGTAGGTGAAATCAGTGCAGCCTGGATGACAGAGTGGCATACTGTACTCCAAACTAATGTTCTCATAAATAAATCCCAGAGTCTAGAAACAGTGGTGGGGTAAATGATCAAATATCAGTGGTGCGTGGGGAGATCACATGGTATATCAGGGGGCAGTGGTGGGTGGGGTGTTCACATGGTATATTGGGGGTGTGGTGGGCGTGGTTATCACATGACATATCATTGGGCAGGCAGATTACATGGTATATCAGGGGGCACTAGTGGCTGGGGTGATCACATGGTATATGGGGGTATGGTGGGCAGGGTGATCACATGGTATATGGGGGTATGGTGGGCAGGGTGATCACATGGTATATGGGGGTATGGTGGACGGGGTGATCACATGGTATATGGGGGATATGGTGGGTGGGGTGATCACATGGTATATGGGGGTATGGTGGATGGGGTGATCACATGGTATATGGGGGGGGGTATGGTGGGCAGGGTGATCACATGGTATATGGGGGCTATGGTGGGCAGGGTGATCACATGGTATATCATTGGGCAGTGGTGGATGGGGAGATCACATGGTATATCATTGGGCAGTGGTGGGCGGGGTGATCACATGGTATATCATTGGGCAGTGGTGGTGGGCGGGGTGATCACATGGTATATCATTGGGCAGTGGTGGGCGGGGTGATCACATGGTATATCATTGGGCAGTGGTGGGTGGAGTGATCACATGGTATATCATTGGGCAGTGGTGGGCAGGGTGATCAAATAGTATATGGGGGTGATGGTGGATGGGGTGATCACATGGTATATCAGGGGGCAATGGTGGGCGGGGAGATCACATGGTATATCATTGGGTAGTGGTGGGCTGGGTGAGCACATGGTATATGGGGGGTACGGTGGGCGGGATGATCACATGGTATATTGGGGGAGTACGGTGGGTGGGGTGATCACATGGAATATGGGGGGTACGGTGGGTGCGGTGATTACATGGTATATGGGGGGGGTACGGTGATCAGGGTGATCACATGGTATATGGGTGGGTATGGTGGTCGGGGTGATCACATGGTATATTGGGGGTATGGTGGGTGGGGTGATCACATGGTATATGGGGGGGGGTACGGTGGGTGGGGTGATCACATGGTATATCACTGGGCAGTGATGGGTGGGGTGATCACATGGTATATCAGGGGAAAGCTGTGGGTGGGGTGATCACATGGTATATCAGGGGAAAGCTGTGGGTGGGGTGATCACATGGTATATCAGGGCAAAGCTGTGGGTGGGGTGATCACATGGTATATCAGGGGGCTGGGGTGGGGGTGATCACATGGTGGGTGGGATGATCACATGGTATATGGATGGTATATGGGGGGAGTACGGTGGGGTGGGGTAATCACATGGTATATCACTGGGCAGTGATGGGTGGGGTGATCACATGGTATATGGGGGGTACGGTGGGCGGGGGTAATCACATGGTATATCACTGGGCAGTGATGGGCGGGGTGATCACATGGTATATGGGGGGTACGGTGGGCGGGGTAATCACATGGTATATCACTGGGCAGTGATGGGTGGGGTGATCACATGGTATATGGGGGGTACGGTGGGCGGGGTAATCACATGGTATATCACTGGGCAGTGATGGGCGGGGTGATCACATGGTATATGGGGGGTACGGTGGGTGGGGTGATCACATGGTATATCACTGGGCAGTGATGGGCGGGGTGATCACATGGTATATGGGGGGGTACGGTGGGTGGGGTGATCACATGGTATATGGGGGGGGGGTACGGGTGGGTGGGGTGATCACATGGTATATCAGGGGAAAGCTGTGGGTGGGGTGATAACATGGTACATGGGGGGGGTATGGTGGGCGGGGTGATCACATGGTATATGGGGGGGTACAGTGGGCGGGGTGATCACATGGTATATGGGGGGGTACGGTGGGCGGGGTGATCACATGGTATATGGGGGGTACGGTGGGCGGGGTGATCACATGGTATATGGGGGGGTACGGTGGGGCGGGGTAATCACATGGTATATGGGGGGTACGGTGGGCGGGGGATCACATGGTATATGTGGGGGTGATCACATGGTGGGCGGGGTGATCACATGGTATATGGGGGTATGGTGGGTGGGGTGATCACATGATATATGGGGGCGTATAGTGGGTGGGGTGATCACATGGTATATCAGGGGAAAGCTGTGGGTGGGGTGATCACATGGTATATGGGGGGGGTACGGTGGGCGGGGTGATCACATGGTATATGGGGGTATGGTGGGCGGGGTGATCACATGGTATATGGGGGGTACGGTGGGTGGGGTGATCACATGGTATATGGGGGGGTACGGTGATCACATATTATATGGGGGGGTACGGTGGGCGGTGTGTGATCACATGGTATATGGGGGGTATGGTGGGCGGGGTGATCACATGGTATATGGGGGGTATGGTGGGCGGGGTGATCACATGGTATATGGGGGTTATGGTGGGCGGGGTGATCACATGATATATGGGGGGTGCGGTGGGCGGGGTGATCACATGGTATATGGGGGGGTACGGTGGGCGGGGTAATCACATGGTAAATCATTGGGCAGTGGTGGGCGGGGAGATCACGTGGTCTGTGAGGAGGGGGCGGAGTGTCTCACCTTCATAGTGCGGATGGATTCGGCTCCGCCCTGCACTCCGCTCACCGGCTCATAGCGGCTGGTGTGCGGTAGCAGCAGCTGATTGAGGACGTGCAGGGATCCCCGGCTGTATCGCACCGACTCCAGAGACATGGTCGGCGTACTGCTCTCCGCGGCCTGTGACCACGTGTCTGCAGAGTGGGCGGGCCGGGCTAGCAAGGGCGAGGCTCCCTGTCTCTGCAAGGTTACCGCATGTATTGTAATAGAGGGGCCGCGCTGCCTTCCTTCTCATGTGCTGAGCTCTGCACAGCGGTCAGTCTACTCCAGACAGTACTGCGGCTGCTGGTAGCCTGGCTATCATGCTTAACCTCCGGCTTCATTCCCGGGTCCCAGAGCCCAACCCTCATACATAACCACGCCAGGACCCCCTGTGATCCCGGGCTCTATGCTGCATTCACAGCGGTGTCCTCTGTTTTGTACTTCCAATTGGTGATTGGGCCAGTAACACGCCTCCAGTATTAGAGTGACCCCACTCTGTACGAAGGAGCACAGGGGGCACCTTTGGACAGCAGCATTGTCAGTTGGGGGGGCAGGGGCAGACTGACCATTTGGAAACTCAGGCACTGCCCGGGGTCAGTAGGGGGCCCCATGAGATGCCCCTGGTACCTTTTTCATAGGCTTTTTTGAGTTTGGGTAAGGACACAGGGGCCCCATGATCCCCTATTGCCTGGGGGCCCCATGAATTGTCAGTCTGCCCCTAGGGGGAACATGTTAGATGGACTAGCAGATTTAGATACACTAACAAATCGGAGCCAAACCCTGGCTCATGCTTTGTAATTAGTTACAGCAGTTTTTTTTTTTTTTTAAATTCTTTTGAGATAAAGGTTTTGCATAAATACAAGCTGATCATTGTAGGCACCCCCCCCCCCCCCCCTTGGTCAGTGGTAATTGGTTTGTCCCATCCCTGTCACTGCAAGAGAGCTTTTCTGTTGAAAAACAACAAACTGACCAGCCAGATCACCAGGTGAAAGTATAAGAAAGCCTAAAAATGAAAAGGAATGCAGCCAGGCAAAAAAAAAAAACCACAGCCAGTGTGTGCAGGAGCATCAGCGTTTCGTCAGAAAAAATGCTCTAAGCGCATGTTAACCCTAGGCATGTTTAGTGATTGAGCGTTCATTCATTTCAGTGGCCAGAGGAAATTATTATATCAGGGAAGCCTATCCTGCCCTCAGCTAATCATGGAATCTTCTACTCCTCCTACCAGTCCATCCTCCACAGTTATTACCTTTTGTACCACTAGCTCCTCCCTCTTAGATTGTAAGCTCCAAGGATCAGGGCCCTCCTAACCCTCTTGTATTGAACTGTATTGTCTCCCGTTATATTGTAAAGCTCTGAGCAAAAACTGTTGGAGCCATATAAAAACTGTATAATGTTGGCTGTATAATAATATATAAATCCTGTATAAATAATAATATATAAATCCTGTATAATAATAATAAATAAATCCTGTATAATATATAAATCCTGTATAATGGTCCTATTCAAGTGATCAGGTGAGAACAAGCACCAGAGAGAAAAATCATTTTGTTAAGTTGTGCACATTTTTGAGATGTTGAGCTTCAAGATACAAGTTACTCAAATGTGACTGCAACCATTGAATTTCCCTTCTTTCCAGGGCTCACTGACCCTTTCTTCCTGTTCATTAGACCAGAGGCTGCTATGGCCTCTCCTTTCCGGGGGTGGACCGCTAGCTGAGTAAATGCTCCTCTGGGGTTTTACTTTTTTTTTTTTTTTTTGTCCCCCATCAGCCTGACAGACATAACTACATTACTGCTCAACAGTGGTAGGACCCAGTTGGCTGACTCTACTCAACAATGACTGGAATAGCCAATTAACATTAATGTGGGCAGAGACTAGGGAGTAAAGCCGGCCATACGCGGTTCAATTTCCAAAAGAATATTCTTTCGAAAATCTTTTCTAAGAGTTTTCATTCAAATTTCGCACAGAAAACGGCCGATTTTCGCATGACCATCCAATTTGAGTGATTGGGCATGTTGGAAATTTTTTTGAAAAACAAATTTTGAATCAATGATGGGAGAATCGTGCAAGAAACATAAAGCTGTGACCTGGAAAGAAAAAGAAAATTCTTGACCACAAAAATTCTTTTCTATACCAATGAGAAATTGAAGGCTTGGTTGGTTGAATTTCAAAATCAATGGTGGCACCATTGGATTACAAAACGTATGACAGTTCCGATTGTCTAAAGAAAATTTGTTTGGAATTCGACCCATGGTCTGCATAAGCCCAAACACACTTAGCAAGGCACATAACCCACCCACTAGTATCTACAGTAGGTCCCATGGGGTTTATAGTTTGTTCAGGGACACAGGAGGCAAAAAAGATCTAACTTAGGACCATGCCTGATCCATCCTCCCCAGGAACTAGGTATACATGCACTTTAAGTAAAATGTAATGATATCAGTTTTAAAATTAGGACACCTGGCTTACCTGTAATTTCTTTTTTTTTTAGTACTTCACAGTACGCAGGGTTTCGTCTTTGTCATGACTACATGTTGACTGCTCTCCTCCACTTCCCATGCTTTCTGAACCACCCAGTTTGTCTGTCTGAACCCAGACTATCCTCTGTCATCCTTTACATTTAGGGTATGAATACTTTTGCAACATTTGCCACTCTACAGTCAACCTGGCCTTTGGACTCAGATACATAAGCAGATCCAGGATTGTGGACTCTTGTCCCAGGCTGACAAAATGTTGAGTTGCAACTCCCAGCCCGCAACTGGGCTTAAGCAACCACACTGAAGGCAGAGACCACCTCCCTCCTCCCCCCATGCAGAAGCAAATTAGAGATTTTCCACAAGCATCAGGGCCTCTACTGGAGAAAGGAAAGACTTTTCCCGTGGAAAGAACTCCTTGGATTGAGCAGTGTTTAGGGCTAGGCCAGGGTGGCAATTGCCCCCTGGGCTGCTCTGATGCCACTGTGGGGGACACAGACTGCTCCCCAGTGGATGCAAGTCACTGAGCTGAGTCTCTCTCACAGCCCAAAACCAGCATTGTCAATTCCCCCTTCCCCCTCAAATGGACAGGAGAGAACTGGCTCTGCTCCTCCTGCTGTTCTCTCCTCTTGTATCTGCCCACCCACACTCCCCAATGTTGTGCCTCCCAGATGTGTGGGCGGGAAAATTGAAGCCCAGCAGCTACAAGAGGGAAAGGTGGTGCCTGATGATCCATCCATCTCCTGCTAGTGAAGTCCCCCCCCCCCTCCTCTGTGAATACTCTGATGTATGGGGTTTTTTTTTTTCTTTCCTTTTTCCTTCCCTATGTCTAGGTTCACACATATGTAGTTTGCATTTGATCCATTTCTGCAGTGCTGTTTGAGGCTGTTCCCCCCCCCCCCCGTTCCTGGGCAGATCAAAACGCATAAAAACCGTACTACATGCATTTCTGCAGCGTCTCTATTGAAGTCTATTGAACCAAAAACACAACTTTTGCGTTTAAAAAAGTCCCTGACCCTTTCCAAAAAAATGCAGATGTGAACTCATGTTAAAATGGACTGCTGTGCATTTGTGCAAAACACAAACGAAAACAAACACATATGTGTAAACCTAGACTAAAGGTTTCTTGGTGAAATGGAGTTTTAAAAAAAAGCCCCCGCTGCAGCCCCTAGATGGCCAGTTCAACCAACAGGCGCTATCCAGCCTGAGCCACCCAGTGAGCAGAGTACCTGGAGCTGAGCTTCAGCATGGGATGGGTGCCGACTCGCTGCACCATGAGCCGCTGGGTTGTAGTTGCTAGTCAGCCTCTGACTAGGCCCAAGTATTACATACTGCATCTGGACCAAAGTATATTTTTGGAGATCCAGTATGCAACCAAACTGCTCCAGGAGCTGCACCGTCTAATATACACTATTTTGCTAAAAATACTGGGACGCCTGCCTTTCCACGCACATGAACTTTAGTGGCATCCCAGTCTTAGTCCGTAGGGTTCAATATTGAGTTGGCCCCGCCCTTTGCAGCTATAACACCTTCAACTCTTCTGGGAAGGCCATCCACAAGGTTTAGGAGGGTGTCTATGGGAAGGTTTGACCATTCTTCCAGAAGCACATTTGTGAGGTCAGGCACTGATGTCAGACGAGAAGGCCTGGCTCACAGTCTCCACTCTTAATTCATCCCAAAGGTGTTCTATCGAGTTGAGGTCAGGACTCTGCAGGCCAGTCAAGTTCCTCCACCCCAAACTCGCTCCTCCATGTCTTTATAGATCTTGCTTTGTGCACTGGTGGGCAGTCATGTTTTAACAGGACGGGGCCATCCCCAAACTGTTCCCAGAAAGTTGGGAACATAAAATTGTCAAAATGTCTTGTATGCTCATGCCTTAAGACTTGGAACTAAGGGGCCAAGCCCAACCCCTAAAAAATAACCCCACACCATAATCCCTTCTACCAAACTTTACACAATGCAGTCAGGCAAGTACCGTTCTCCTAGCAACCTCCAAACCCAGACACATCCATCAGATTGCCAGAGAAGCACGATTTGCCACTCCAGAGAACACTTCACTGCTCTAGAGTCCAGTGGCAGAGTGCTTTACACCACTGCATCCGATGCTTTGCATTGCACTTGGCAATGCAAGGCTTGGATGCAGCTGCTCAGCCAAGAAAACCCATTCCATGAAGCTCTCCAAGCACCGTTGTGCTAATCTGAAGGCCGGAAGTTGAGGTCTTTAGCTATTGACTGCATTCTTTCACAAATGTTTGTAGAAGCAGTCTGCATGCCTAGGTGCTTAGTTTTTATACACCTGTGGCCATGGAGGTGATTGGAACACCTGAATCCAATGATCTGGGAGGGTTTCTCAATACTTTTGGCTATATAGTGTATATTAGGCATCAAGCTCTGAGCCAATTCCAATCAAAGAAGCAGGTTGTCAAGGCACCCTACAACAGGTCTTTCAACAACCTCAAAACCAGAGTCCAGCTCTTGCTAAATACCTTAGGAGCAGTGGACAGACATAATGGTAATGCCACAAACTAGTAGTGGTGATCCTCCACAGCAAACCTTAGAAATCTTTGTCCAGGCTGAAAGATTGTGATGTGCTGGAAGCCATCCTTAACATGCAGAGATGCCAAGAAGTCCCCCTGCTAA